GCTTGGGTCGCAACATGTTGGGTTGCCAACATGTTGCACAGCTCCGCAGGCCCCAGAAGCCAGCGCTGCAGCGGCCGTTGCTGCAGACGCAACGCAGGCGCGCAGCGACCGAGGTAGATTGCCAGGCGCAGGTGGAGTGGTCAGGCGGTTGGGGTTGGGTGAGATGGTTGGTTTCAGTTTGGTGTGAGTACGGTGGCAGTGGCGGCAACAAACGGCTAGGCTGGTTGAGGCCATCAAAGTTGCACCTGGATGCTTTTGGATGCATCTTGCAGCGAATGACTGTGGCAGGTTCCCGCAGCCAAAGCAAAGGGTCCGGGCAAAGGTCCCAAGGGGCCACCCAAGGGCAAAGGCAAAGGCACGCAGGCGGGGAGCGCGGAGGGCTGTTTACGGAAGAGGCATCAGAGCTTGAGTCGGCTTTGGTTGCCGGGGCGTGCCGTGCGACGTGCACGTGTGGGTCTGGGCTTGCAAGGCTTTGAAGATTGAGAGAGAGTCTGCCCTGCCAGGTTGAGGCCAAGACCGCAGATGGCGCACCGACCACACAAGCCTCCGAAACGGCCAAAGTGGCGGAGGCAGCAGCGGTGTCAACAGCTAAGGGTTGGTCACAGCAAGCAATTCTTGTGCCTTTGACGATTGAATTTTGGGTGGGTGTCTTGAGCTGTGACAACAGATGTCACATGGCTCCAGTTGCTGGCGCGTTGCTTTTGACACGTCATTGGCTTTCCTGACTTGATCACTCCATGGTGGGTAATGCTGCGGCGCTTGGGTCGTAACATGCTGCACAGCTTGGCAGGCCCCAGATGCCGGCGCTGCAGCGGCCGTTGCGGCAGACGCCGATGCTCCGAGTGTGCGGCAGAAAGCGGCCTCATCTTTGCTGAAAGCGGCCAAAGACGGCAGCCTGGAGAAGTCGTTGCAGAACTTTGAGGAGAAGGAGGCAGAGGCTCAGTATGGAGTGGTGCTGTAATGATCATGCTAGAGCGGCAGACTGCTACCTGTGCTGAGTGGCAGTTGCGGGGATTTGCCCAAAGCGGGCAAAGTCTGAGCTTGAGTTTTCCGGGCTGTAGGCGGTTGCCAAGATAGCAGATGGCACACCGACCACGCAAGCCTCCGAAACGGCAAAAGTGGAGGAGGCAGCAGCGGTTCTTGTGCCTTTGACGATTGAACGTGGGGTGGGTGTCTTGAGCTGTGACAACGGATCGCACTCCAGCTGACGCATTGCTTTTGGCATGTCATTGGCTTTCCTGTTTTCATGACTCCATGGTATGGTGGGTCATGCTGCGGCGCTTGGGTCGCAACGTGTTGCACAGCTTGGCAGGCCCCAGATGCCGGCGCTGCAGTGGCCGTTGCGGCAGACGCTGACTCTCCAAGTGTGCGGCAGAAAGCGGCCTCATCTTTGCTGAAAGCAGCCAAAGACGGCAGCCTGGAGAAGTCGTTGCAGAACTTTGAGGAGAAGGAGGCAGACCAGGCTCGGTGTTGGGATGTGGGATGCTGCATTGCGGCCCAAAGCGGATGGGCTGCAACGAGGTTCCAAAACACAGCTATTTTGGTCTAGTGGTGAGGTGGTTGGACGCGACACGAAGGTTTGGTCTGGTCCCAATGTAGTGAAGTGCACATGGTGCAAGTTGAGGACGGCTGGGCCCTGGCAAAGGCAGATGCCACGCAAGCTTCAAACAGTTCTCAGTGGGTGTGGCAAGGGCGCAAGCTGCGCCATTGCAATGTTCTTTTGGTATGTGACCATCGTTCAATACTTTTTGTATTGTCAAGGCATGCGTTGATCGTGTTGTGCCAGCCACATTCAACTCCCGAGCTTCGGCAAACCCGGCTCTGTTTCTCGGTACGTCTTAGCAACCTTTACGCAGCCATGCGTGCGATGCCGCTGGCCACATGGCAGAAACGTGGGCCTTCCGAGCGCATTTGTCCGCTGGGCCTCAGGCAGCTGGGGCCAAGAACGAGGCACGAGAGGGCGCGTCGAGCGTTGAGTCGTCCCATCGCCCTCCTGCGTCCCCCCGCCCCAGGGCCCGGCGGACCATTTGCTGGGGGTGGCAGCTGCTCGGCCACACTTCGCGAGATCGGGAGGGCTTTTCCTATAGTGCTCTCCTTTTTGTGGAGGGCACTGAGCTGGCCATGGGTCATAACCTATGCCTCCATTTTGGGGCGGAGGAACACCCATGTACCACCCATTTCGATGTTCACCAGGGGTACAGGGTTTTGACCCACGGAAAGATGGGTAATTTTGCCTTGCGAGCGACTCCGGGTGACTCTCACGACTTGCGACTCAGGTGGACTTGACCCTGACCCATGCCAAGGGGCCTTTGCTGAAGCGTGGCCCGGTGTACGGCTACAAGTTCCAGGCTCGTGCCTTGGCGGCAAGCTGTTCGGATAGAGGCTTCGGTTTTCTTCGAACAGGCGAAGGGCGAGCTGGTTCGCACGTTATGCAAGTTGCTTGCACCCATCACTGTTATTTGATTGCTTTGTGCCTTCGTTTCGCTTGATGTCTTGCGGCGTTGCTAGCCCGAACAGCATAGCACCCTTCACCGCCTCAATGCAGTGCGATTTCATACACGGTGCCGAGGCTGGTGCATTCTGACCAATTCCCAGATCATCGTCTACAAAGATGTGCCTCGGAAGCGACAAGACTAAGCGCCCAGAGGTTTCAGTTCATGTTGCCATAGCACAACTCATTTTGAGCGGATTCCTACTGTGGATGGACAAGATCCATTTCGCACCACCGTTCAGGAACTCTGGAATGAGTCGACTCATGGTTTCCTCCATTGTTTTTTAGGTGCAAACGCCGAATTTGAAACATGGCATGTTTAAACCACAGAAGTGTGTGTGTGTGTGTGTGTGTGTGTGTGTGTGGGTCAAAATTGAACCTCCACGAATTCGCAGGTGTTATGTTGTCCATGTTTTCACTTACCGGGGATTCATTTGGGCACCTATGGACCCACAGCCAAGTAGCTCCTTTCCGCGGCGAAGCCCCAGGAGCGCTTCGTGCAGCGCGTCAGCGCGGAGCGGCTCAGCTTCGAGGCCAAGGCGGTACGCTTCAGCCGCCACGACGCGCCCGGGGAGGCGGGGAGGGAGTCCACGCGGGGCACGCGCGGGGAAGCCCAACATGGTAGTGGGTCAACACCCATGGGATCCCATTTTTTGGGGTAGGTGCACCACCCAATGAAGGTTAGTACACGGGACAATTCCCTTGCCATAAGCAGCTGCGGATATCCGCCTTCCTAATTCTTCACATGGGTCTGGGTACACCAATTTCACGACTCACATGGATTGCCCTCTTCGGTAGATCCTGGGCCATTACGGGCCTCCAATCAGCCTGATAGAGATCGATTCCGTTGCGCCAATGCTTGCGGCCAGTTCACCCCGCATTGCCGCCGTCCGTGCTCCTGCTCCTTTTCACTCTTTTACGCCTTGAATAGCAAGATGCCCGCATCATGCAGTGCCTTGATTTCAACCCTCGAGACGGAGACAACAGCCAGGCTGTGAAGCACAAGGCCGAGAAGCCGCATGGCGCCTTGGCGCGATTCGGTGCCTTGAGAGAGATAGGGACATGCCCGCATCGCGAGGATTTGTTCTCGACGTCAACCCAGCTGCGGGCAAATCCCGCAAGCTGTCTTACTTTGACGCTACCTGGCTGCAACTCGAGCCTGGCGTTGTTTCTGCTGCAGTTGCTCAGGCCGAAAACGAGGAGACCTTGGACCGCTGGCTGTCCGCCGTGTCCCAGGCCCCGAAAGAGAGTTCTCCGTTTGCTTTGGCCCGTTCGCTTCGGCTCCTTCCAGGTGGCGGCGCGGCGCCAGCAAGCCGCGACCCTCCACCTCTACGACACCCGAGGCGCTCAGCGCGGACGCTTCCACGTGGCCGTGGAGATCGCTGGCCCCTCGCTGTGACGACTTCGCGTCTTGCGACGTCGCGTGACGCCACGTGCGAGGAACGGAATGGAGCTACGCAGCCTGCGAGAGCGGCACAGGTGGGGTTTGGGGCTCGAAGTTTGCGCGTGGCTCGCCAGCGATGCCAGGCGTGATCCAGAATCAGCCGACCTGCGCCGCCCCACACAGCTATAGCCAGAGGCCCAGCGGATTTCCAATGTCCGGGGACCTTTTACTATCACATTTATCTTTTTTGCCAACGCCAATTCGAGGAGATGCCATTGAGCTGGGCTACACTGCGCTGAGCAGCTCTGAGATCGAGGACTGCGTCAGCAAGCTGAAGGAGGAATGGGCGGGCGCCAGCTATGCAGCTTGGCGAGGGAACTTGGAGTTTTAGGGACTTCTGGAGGCCACCGTTTGGATGTGCCTTACACTCTGTCGCATGAATCTCTGAGGGCAGAAATCAGGGTGCTCAATATGCTTGCTTCCCGGCTTTGCCGCTGGTGGTCAGCCCAGGATCATTTGAAGAAGAACTGTTGCAACTTCTGCAATGCCCTGTGCGTTGGCCTGGGCGTTTCGCCCCTCGCCTGCAAGCTCTCGGCGTGTCGTGAAAGTTGAAAGGCACGCGTTGGGCCGTCGAGGCTGCCTCCTTGGGTTTTGCGCCTGGCGTCCGCGGAGGAGTGGCTGACCAACAAGGCCCGCGAGCGGCGAGGTTCGTCGCGGACCGCGCCTCGTTCGCTCGGCGTGGGAGGAGCCCTGCGCCATCATCGCGGCCGCGCAGGGGCCGTGACGCCGGTGACGCCGCGGCGGGTAGAAAATTTTTCCCCCTGTGCCCAAGGCACAAGGATTCCGCCTCTCGTGCAGATTCCGGCTCCAAGTCCTTTCGCAGAATCCGCTCTGAACGAGAGACGCTCTCTGATAACGTTGCTCTGAGCCTCTCAAAGGGAGGCGCAAGGTGGCAAGGCGCCACAGCCTGGCTCCTGGGAGCTGCAGGCTCCGGCGTCTTGGAAACGGTTAGCACCCATCGCGCAAGCGAGGAGTGAAATGAAAATGCAGCCGCTGCGGAACTTCTGTGGGAGCTTTGGAACTTGGGAATTGTGGTGGGAGTTGTGCCTGGTGTTGCTATTTGAGGTTTGTGGACACCGCAGCCTGGAGCATAAGAGCCAGGAAGGCCGTAAACCTTCTTGCAGAGTTCTCAGCGGTTGGCTTTTCGGCGAGGCAACACGACGCCTGGCGTGGCTGCGGCATGTGGAGACGCTATCGGCCAGTGTCGGTGCTGCGCTTTGGCTGGCCAGCCACTCAGTCACTCTGTCCGGCCACTCAGCCACCTCACTCGGCTGCTCTACCAAGGCAGGCTTCTGGCCGTCCCTGCCAAGGCATTGCATGCAACATGTAACTGCTCTCAAGACCATGTGTGGAGGCGCGGGGCTGTGCGTAGTCCGGGGCTCAGCTTCTTTCCCGTGTGTTCTCGTGGTCCAAAGTTTTCTGTTTGGAGGCTGGAAGGACATGGAGCTGTTCCTTGCAGATGCCCACAACGTTTTACCGGTTCTGGGTGCCGCATGTGTGCTCCTCTACCACCCCCTGGCCTTCTCCCTGGGCCGGCTCCACGCTGCCCAGGTCCGGGAGAAACGAACCTGGTCAAAGCGACCCATTTGAACATACAGCCAGGTGAGGGCCGATGGCCTGCACCGTGCGGCCGCCCGTGGCGATGTAGAGGACTCCCGCATCCAATCACTCAAATTCTATTGGCCCATGGCCAATTTTGGCCCATGTTGGTCCGATGCCCCCATGAATTCCTCCCAATCACTTTCGCAGGCAGTGTCCCGGTTGCTCCGGGAGCAGAGTGCCGAGGTGGGAGCCGACTCGGTCCGTAAAGCGGAGCACGCTTCGCCAGGTCTCGTGCCGACGTCGCAGTCCCAGTGAGGAACGGCTCGGCGCTTCGGTGCGCTTGAAGCATGAGGCAATGGCTTGCTGGATGGGCCCGGTGCTGAAGACCTGAGTTTCAAAGGAGTTCTGCATGTGGATTAATCCGGAGAGGAATGCTCCCCTCTGAGAACAGTACGGGCGATGTGATTGAAGTCTGTCTCCCCATGGCAAGCTTCATCTCTAGGCTCAACGCTCTTAGCCCAGAGGGCTTGGCGCCGCTGCATTTGGCCGCCTCCGCCGGAGCTGACCGCGCCGTGCGCGCCGGGGACCCCGGCCGTCGCATCGGCTCGGATCGTTTTTATATGGCTGTGGTTGTCAAAACCAATGGGATCCCATGGCTATGTGAAAACGTAGAGTCACGTCGCCAGGCGTTGCTCCGGGCACAGGCGGAGGCGGCTTCTCGTTTTGGACGCTTCCCGGTCGCTGCCCGGCCGCTTTTTTTGTTCTGCGCGAGGTCTCGGTGGCCGGAGCCGGAGGTGTGCAGGGCGCCCAGCCAAAAGCCTCCAGAGGGAGTCAACCGTGATGTTTGGAAAGTCTGTGAGTCGCGTCTTGCGGAAAGAGGGTGTTGCGAGCGCACGCTGCCAGCGCTCTGAGAACTCCGCTGATGCTCAGCGCAGAAGCTGGACATGTCGGAGGCTCAGAGTGGGGCCGCTCAGCAAGAAAGGACGGCGAAGCCGAGGACAAAGTGCTTCGACTGCTGCTGGCACACGGCGCAGCGCAGGCACATACCATTTGCGCTGAATCCGCAAAGTTTATGTCGAAGCCGAATCAACTGGCGAGCCCCCTTGTGAGCACAAGCCTGCGCCGCACCTTTGGCTCAGAATCTAAGAAACCTCAGTGATTGGTGTCACACTAGGAGCCCCATTTTACATCACCTTACCGCGGAGAAGTTGGAATGTACCGGACGCTCGCCCTGATCTTGGTCGCACTGGTCGTACGTGCGGCTGGACTGGAAACCTTAAGCACACCACGCGATTCGTTTACCACTACTACGCGGCTCGGCGGGGCTTTGCAATGAGACAAACGTCGGAGAGCAAGTCTGAATCTTCCCGTGAACCTGAAACCTTGAAACGAACTTGAGGTTGGAGCAACCGCAGCTCAACTCGTCCTTTTGTGACGGCTGCGAGAGCGAAGAGGCGGGACCGCGGGACCGCGGGACCGCGGGACCGCGGGACCACGGGACAGGGTGGGGGTCTGACCCCTGCTCAGGAGCCCAACTGGAGCAGTGCAGTGCCTCGGCCCAACGGAGTGCACACGGTTGCACCCATAATAATTGTTCATCCCGTTGTGCAAGTTTGTTCCCCTCTCAATTCTGACTTCCACTCATTTGACTTCAACTCATTCTAAGGAGATTCTATTGGATCTCCTTGGCTTCACCGGCACAGATGGAGTTGCCTTCACTGCTGCATTGGTGATGTTTTCGATGCGCCCCATGGTCAGGCAGCTCGGGGAGAAAGAGGCAATGGGCGGATTGGGAGTCAAGTATTCTCAACTCCTGGACTCCCGGATGCCCCGGAATCCCGGATGAAATCCGCCGTCCGTCTGAGGCTCCTATGTGGGATGAAAGTGAGTCAACGTGCACACTGACCCCGTCGGGGCCTGTGTCGTTGAGCTAGCGATGAAAGCGAGAAGCGACGTGGACACGGCGGATGCTGCAGGATCGGCCGTGGCAGCTCGCGGAAAATCCCCGCCAGTTGGCAAACATTGGCCAGAAGAATTCATTGTCGCAGTCAAAAATGAACAGAACAAGTCTTGACACCGCCAACTGGCTGATTCGTCCAATTTTCCCACCGTGTCCAGCTTCCCTGGCTCTGTCTACCCTCACAACCATGAATCAGGAAGAGGATGTTTGAGAGACCACTTCCCTTAGTTTCAGGCATTCCAGATCGGCTAGGAGAGGGTTGAGCCTGGTTCTTGCCCCCCAAATGCAGCAACCTCGCAGCATAGGAACTGTGAGGCATTTTGCAAGCGGTTTCACCTTGTATAGTACACGTCTAGCCACGTCTAGGTAATAGCCGTGCTCAAGATAGGACCTTGTCGGGGTCCCAAGAGCAAAGTCTCTGTCCTTGGATCTCGGACTCAGGTTTGGGACCAGAGTCTGGTCCCTGGGCAGGGGAAACTGGCAATGCCAGGATCGGCTGTGGGCCATGTCTTCTTGACCTCGCGCCAGCCGCCAAAAACAGAGACCAAAGCAGCGACTTCCCGAGCATTTGTGCTTTTTTTTGACGCTGTCTGACTATCTGAGCGTTGTTGTCGCTCGCAGGCAATCAGTCAGGCTTCGGCTGACGGCAACACCGCGCTGCATTTGGCTGCTCGCCAGAGTCTCAGTACACAAATCAGCGCAGAGACCTGCGCCTCTCGCCCGCAGGAGAGGGGCATTCGGAGTGCGTGCGGAGCTGAGACGCGCGCGTTTGGTCCGGGGACAGCGCATGCGTTTCAGATCCACCGGCTGCTGCGGGCTCGAGCTGACCCCGGTGTCGTCAACGTGGGGTGCCCGGGCGACGAATTTTACGGCTCGACGTTTCCAGGGGGTGGGGGGGTTACGGGTGTATCAACGAGATCCTCGGAGTCGGAACCCTCTAGGACTTCACATTTCCGCTTTGGGTTTCGTTCTTCGGCTCGAACGGAGTCGCAGGCGCGAGGCTTGTCAGCCTTCGACCTGGCGAGGTTCGGGTGTTTTGAGAGAGCGCAAAGGCGTCGGCGAGCGACTTGGCCAGGTCGCAGAAGTTTTTGGAGGCACGGATCTTGGGCTAGCTGGACCCCAGCAAGCCCCGTTTCCATGTGTTGCGCGACTGCCGTTTCCCTGAGTCCGAAGTCCGCGGAAGTCACATCTTGTCCACGGTCGCAGCGTCCGAGGCTGGGGCCCGAAGATTTCGGTCGAGTCTTGTGACAGGGTGCATTTGAACACCGTCGCCTCCCATTGAAGAAGAATGCGTTGATGTTCACATGTTTCAAATGCACACCCTCGGTGTTTCAAAGCATTTGATGTTCACATGTTTCAAAGCATTTGTCATTTCAATTGAAGTGTTGATGTTCAAACATGACTCACGGAAGAATGGTCACCCTACGGATTGCGTGCAGGTCAAGAGTTCGCACGGCTCCATGCCAGAAGCTGAGCGGAGAGCTTTGCAGCTCGGAGAGCTTGGATCTTAGGTCCAGGGCGCAGGCGCTCTCGTGCTCTCGTGCTCGCGCTCTCGCGGTCGCGCGCGTCCTGCGACCTTCTGACTTTCGGACTTTCTCGTTCGCAGGAGGACGTGCTGCAGTGCCCTGGCAGTTTGTGATATCGGCGTTGCCAGCCTCTTGCTTCGGGCGAATGTGCGAGGCTCCCGATGCACACGGGGTCATCCCTGCGAGGCCTGTGGTCATGCTCTTTTGGAAAGAACGGATTGGGGGCGGAGGGAGCCGCGCATCGGTGTATCGGGCAGGCACACCTGAGAGGACTCCTCGTCCTAGTGCGCCGTCACCCACAGTGACTGTGAGAAGTAATGCGAGCGTGTGAGGTGCTCAGAGATTCCCCGAAGCTCCGAGACTCTGAGCTGCGCGAGCGCTTGAGGCTGGATGTGCCAGTCATCGCCGCAGCCGACAGTGCTTTGGACGAGCTGCTGGCGGAGGCTTCTCCCATCTCCCTTTGTCTTCCCTTCCCTTGCCTTTCGAAAGCTTTCGTGAGGCCTCGCGCGGCGGCTTGCGGCTCTCGCCACTGAGATGACTGGGGAAATCGCGTGTCTCGTGTGTCTCGTGTGTCTCGTGTGTCTCGTGCCGTGCCCTTTGCTGAGGCATGTGGCGGGGAGTGCCGGAGCCTCGCATACGTCAAACTGGGATGCCTGGATGGGCCAAAGTCAGGTCCTCACAGAGGCCAGCAGATCCAGTGCTGGACTCAGCGGGCTCGCGGGATCGCAGGACAGGATGTGCTTCAGGCGGTCAGACTCCCTTTGCGTCCCGAACAGCCTTGGCAGGCCCATCTCACCGGGGTGGGCGTGATGTGTGTGGCACCCGCAGCTAAGTTGCCTTGTCCAGGCAGTGCCGTGAAGGTCACAGGCGCAGGGTATTCCACAATAGACATGTGGGCACGGCTCAAACTTTAAGAGCTGGGGAAACGCGGGTTTTAGTCTTTGGTTCCATTTACCAAGGTGCCATTTTGGTACCACTTTTTTGAGCCACAGCCATGTGAGTCCTGTCAACAGGCATGTCAACAGACGGCGTGTTGCAATTCGGAGGCCTGGCCTCGCTGGTGGCCTTGGCCAGCCCCGGAGCCCGGAGCCCATGGCGCTGGCTGCGGTTCGTGCGCGGGTTAGCTGGCGAGGTGCTGCGGCGACTGGCCTCCCGGCCGCGAGCCGGTGGGCCCTCAGGAGAGAGCGCGAGCGTCCGACGGCTTTGGCCAAATGTGAGGCGCGGGACATCAAGGTGGTCACTCAGATTCCATCGAGGACAAGGAGCCTCGGGGGAGGCAGAGAACTTGCCTAATTAGTACGAAGGTTTTTGGATGTCCACCCTAAAGTGCTGCTTTTCACATTGCTCTTGACTTCGGAGGAATACAAGCTGAGCTATTTCCGCATCGCTGCGGCCTTCTGGCTGTTGCAAGGCGCCTAAGCCAAACAGCCAAGGTCGGCTTGATCGGTGAGGGCAGCTTCGGCAGTGTCTACGAGGTGTGCAGGACGCTTTCGCCGGAGCAGAAAGGTTCGCTTGCCCCGAGGTTTGCGACATGCGCTCATCAGGCTGAGCTGTGCGAGTTTTGCGCCGTGCTTGCTGCCTTGTCCAGGCAGCTCCATGGGCAACCCCCTGGGCCCAGACCGGCGCCGAGCGCTGAAGATCCTGCACCGGCGACAGTACCTGGCGCAGGACAGCTGGATTGAGGGGACTGACTGCCCACTGAGCTTCGCTCGGGGCTCTGACGGTGCAGGACATGTTGGCGCGGGCGAGGCAAGAGCGGCAGGCCGGCTGGGCCCGGAGAGGATCTCCGGATCTCCGCTTCGCAGCGCGGAGGTGCTGAAGGCGGCCCGGCACCCCTTCATCGTGCGGCTCTACTGCGCCTTCCGCCGCTCGGCCAAACGGATGCCGATGCCTGCGTCATCCGTGGCCGGCCCAAGTTGCCCAGGCACCCCGGGCAACGAGTTGGCCCTGGTCATGGAGTGCGGCTCAAGGGGCGGAGGACCGAAGCACGTGAAGCCGTTAAGCCCAGCCAGGTACTGCCCCAATGGCAACCTCAATGACCTCATTGTTCGCATGGGCCGGCCTGGCCTTAGTGAGGGGCTCACCCGGAAGCTCATGGCAGAGGCGGGAGCGGCACGAGATGGAAAGAGGAGAGCAGAGCTGAGCAGAGCAGAGAGCATGTGGCTCAAATCAACAAGAATGGCACCTGGGTAAATGGAAATAAAAGCCAAAGCTTGCGCAACCCACACCCATGTGAGTGAGAGAGGTGCTGCTGGCACTGGAGTATCTCCACGATGAGCCGTGCGCTCAGTGCGCTGAACGTTGAGTCTGGTGTCGGGCAGTCGATTTTTTTGAGGCTGGACGTGGTGTTTCGCGACCTGAAGCCAGAGAACATCGTGCTGGATGCCGCCCTGCCAATGCCCCAGTGCGAGAAAGAGAGAGGGAGAGATGTACAATACTTATACATATACAATATATTATCACATTTCGATGTCAGGCAGGAATAAAATCAAAGGGAAGAAGTGGGAGCATGGGAGCCAAGGCACGCGAAGCTGACGGACTTCGGGTTGGCCAAGGAACCTGCGCCAACTTCCCTCTCCGTTTCTTGGTCGCTTCCCTTGAGGCGGAAGCGTCGAGCGGCGCATGGAGCTTCGTGGGCCCTGCTGCTCAAGCGAGCCGCGCTCAGCTCGGCTCAGCTCGGCGCGCTCAGGCTCCCAATACTTCGTGGCCCCAGAGGCTGTGCCCCGAGCGAGTGGAGGTTGTGATGCGTCTGGGTGCCAGGTGACCCCCTTAGCCCGCCGCTATTCACCCGCGGTGGACATCTACACCCTGGGCTTGGTGTGCCTGGCATGTCACGGTGGCACGCCCTTTCCATCTCTTTTCCCTTCGTCTCCTTCAGGTGGCATGGGTGTGCCTGACCGGTGGCCTGTTGTCCGAGCCGGACAGTCACCTTGCACCGGTCGAATTGCACCTGGCCCTCTTCCACCCTTCCACCGTGACGGGTTTTGTTCAGGACACTGCGCCCTTGCTTGGCTGCCACCAGCAGTGGGCGGCCTCAGTCAGCTGGTTTTTGCCATGTGGTTGTCAGCTCACGCTGTGTTCAAACTGTTTTCTTGCAATGCGACTGAGGCGCATTCCGCCTCCCTCGCATGAGGCCATGAGGTCCTGGCTGGATGACCGCAGAGGGGTGGTCAATGGAAGCCCACAGCAACGTCAGCTGCCCGGAGCCCAGGTCAGCACTTGCTTTCTCTATCTTTCTCTCCAACCGCGCCTTGTGCAGGATGCTATTTTCTTTTAGCCAAAAAGGCGATGGGCTGATGTTGGCCTCACCTCCCCTTACACGTGCGGCTGAAGTCATGTAAAGTGTGATCCATGTCTAGGAAACTAGAAAAGGCCGACATGACAATACCATGAGGCCGTGAGTCTTTGTGGCTGAGGTCCGAGCTGGGATTTGGCTTCGTGGACCAGTGACTTGGCTTGGCGAAGCTGTGCGGAGGCACCGCCGGCATTCCGAGGACCACAGCCACGGACCCGTTGCAGCGAGGCACCGCCAGCGAGCTGCGTGAGGGCCTCGGCTCGATATCGAAGACCTGAGCCGCGCAAGAGCCGCTTGCAGCGCGCGTCGCGCGCCGAGGTGGCCACGCCTTCTTCGCCGAATCGCCGCACAGCCCGCGCCTGGCCGATTTCAACGACTGGGCCGGCGCCTCGACGCCTCGACGCCTCGACGCCTCGACGCCTCGATGCCTCGACGCCTTACGCGCGGCGGAGGTGGCTGTGCTGCCGTCCATGGTGGAGGAGGAGCCGCTGTCCCCCGGCAGCGTTGCCACGGAGGCGCGGCACGAATCGTTCTTCATTGCTTTGCATCGGTTTGCCTTCTTTGCCCTCTCTTAAATTGGTTCAAGGGACAGTGCAGGACTCCTGGTCGTGGGATCCCCGACGCCGGAGCTGACGAAGGAAAGCGGCGCTCAGGTCCAATGCGACTTGCGCATGCCGGTGCCGTGGGCTATTCCAAGCCGGCACGCTGTACATATCGGGACTCGAAGGGCACGTTGCATGCTGGCGTGGCTTGAGCTGAGGAGCTCAGGCGAGGGCTTGTCCCAAGCGCCCCTTGCTTTGTGAAGGTGTAAACGGCGCGCACCAGGCTGTTTGTGCAGTGTGACGAATGTACCGGTACAAGAAAAATGCTGCACGTAGAACATACCGGCCGTGGATTCCGAATGGCAGAGGTGATCCTGATATGGTTTGTTTGCCGTCCTTGAAGGAAAGCTGTTTAGCTGGCTCAACGCATCCAACAGATTGATCGAGCAGCAGCGCATGCAACAACACACGTTTTTCTTGCTGCGCAACGATTGCATGGTGAAGGTCTAACGTGATGCAAAGGCTGGTCTTTCAAGCAGTTTTGTTGTAGCGCTTGAGATTGACAAATACTGCTACTAGCAGATGACATAAGTGAATATGCAAGGCACGAGACTGGCAATCATGTTGCAACGTGGCTTACAAGCCCGAAGCATCAGGACTGGGACAACGCTCTCAGATTTGTGCCACTAATCTGTCACATGGCGCTCTTAATCTGCGTTGAGAGAACTTGCTCCAACATGATGCCAACCGAAACGCATATTTCCGGCGCTCGCCTTGTCGCGCAGGACATTGCTGCGAGGCCGCGGTCAAATACAAAAGAGTTGTACAGCACTGACAATTTGCCATGCCACGATGCAGGCTGCAGGAGCTGCAGTGGTGCGCTGTCTCGTTTCTTGCAGAGTTGGGTGCAGTGAGTCTCATGTTTCAGTGGGATTGAATGCGCATGCCCGTGCAGCGCTGGCTTTAGCCGTGCTTGGGCGGGCGCGACGGGCTTCCGGGCATGCGGCGCCTTCATGGCCGGCACCCGCTGAATGTCCTGCCACTGGGGAACCGACTGCTCGACTCGGACTCCACGGGCCCCACGGGCCGGGGTGCGCGGTGCGGGGCGCTGAGCGCTCTGCGGGACGAGCAGCTTCTGCGGGCGCTGCAGGCCTTGGACCCCGCCAGCCTGGCGCGTTGCGCAGCGGCGGCGCCGCGGCTCCGGGCCTTCGCGCTGAGCGACGAGCTGTGGCAGCCGCACGTCCTGCGGCGCTTCCTGGCGCCCGCCGGGGCTGGGCTTGGAGAGACCTTCGCGTGGCGGGGCCGCACCTGGCGTGAGGCCTTCGTGCACAGCCAGAACTGCGCCCCAGCGCCGTGCCACGTGGCTGTGTTCAGCGATGTGCTCTACCGCAGCTTCTTCTATGCCGCCGGGGAGCTGCAGGCTGCGTGGCTGGGTGCCGAAACGCTGCCCCGCGTCAGTGCCGATCTCTCCGTGGAAGACTTCCTCGAACGCTTCGAGCGGCGCAGCTGCCCGGTGCTCATCGAGGGCTGCGTCAAGACCTGGCCGGCCATGGGCCGCTGGCACCGGGAGGCCTTGCTGCAGCGCTTCGGGGATGTGCCCTTTGCGGCCGGCGCGGCGGACTTCCCCTTGCGATGCTTCTATGAGTACGCCGAGAGCAACATGGACGACGTGCCCATGTTCATCTTCGACAAGTACTTTGGGAAGCGGGCGCCGGGCTTGCTTGAGGACTACGAGGCATGTGTCCGATCGGTCACTCGCGTTTGTTGGAAACCGCCCTTTCTGTGCTACTAATATCGGTCATTCAGCTTCGAGCTGTAATTTTCAGTTTCACGGTCCCAAATCCCCACGGTTTGAAAAAAGGGTCTGAGTTTGCGGAGCCACTTGGAGCGATCTTACCCTCGCCCAGGTGCCGGAGCACTTCCGGGGCCGGGACCTCTTCGATCTCTTGGGCGACCGCCCAGACTTCCGGTGGCTGCTGATCGGGCACCGGCGCAGCGGATCCAAGTGGCACCTGGACCCGTCCGGGCCTCAAGATCCCAGGACTTGGAGCCGAGGATTTGGTTTCAGTGCCAGAGAAGGTCTTGAGGTCTTGGGGCTTTTTTGGCGCAGGAAGCAAGGGGGCAAGGGGAGTCCAATTCAGGGCTTCGCAGCGTACGGCGTGTGAGGAACAAGACCTGCGCCTGGAACGCGGTGGTGCGGGGCCGCAAGCGCTGGCTGCTGCTTCCACCAGGCGTGGCAAAGCGACCATGCCACCGCGTTTTTTTTTGCGCACTGGGCGCATGTCGCTCGGAGAGGTTGCCCTCCTCCGGGCGTCCACCGGCACGGCCCTCGGAGGTCGAGGTGACCATTCGTGGCGATAGTCGTCGCACCTCTCGGACGATGAGAAGTTGGGAAGTTTCGCGTGAGGTCAAAGGATGGTGCAGAGGCCACCGGCTTTTGTGCTGTGGCTTGGTTGGTCCAGCCGTTCTGGCGCTGCAGGTGATTCAGCCGGTGAGCCTGCTGGAGTGGTTCACCAACTTCTACGCAGAGCCTTGCGCTTGGCTGAAACATGCTTTCCTCGAAACACACAGAGCATTTCGGCTAGATTCTGGTGAGCCCGACTCGGAGCCATCCTCAAATTTGCGCTAAAGGAGGAGCCTTTCGGATTCGGCGCTTCCGGGAAGTTCTTTGGACGTGAGGCTCAAGCGCCACGTGGACCTCAACCCGGCCTGGGACCTGAAGGAAGGCACCTGCGGCCCGGGGGACCTGGTCTTCATCCCCAGCGGCTGGTGGCCTGGGCCTCAGAATCCAGCGATCCGCATGGAGCGGGGAGAGCGGGGAAGGAAATGAAGACGTGTCGACATGAACGTGTCGGTTCGTTGCAACGAAGACGTCAGAAGGGAGACTCGAGGTACGATAAAAAACCCGCATCCTTGACCGCGTCAAAGTCACCACTTGACTCGTGGCACATGAAGACACTGTGTTCCATTAAAACGCGTGTCGCAATTTTCGATCCCTTTGCACGTGGGAGCGATGGGAAAGGCATTGCGTCCTGAACCTGGAGGATGACACCATTGCGGTGCGCCCACGCGTCCGTGGGGCGGGGGGGGGGGGGGCGGGGTCGGTCGGTTGGGAGATCGGCAGGTCACCCAAAACTACGCCTCGGAGACCCACGTGGCCTCGGTGCGGCGCTTCCTCTCGGAGCGCCGGGAAGAGGTGAGCGGCACCGCGGACCGCGAGACGCTGGCGGAGAGATTTGACGAGGCACGGAACACATCCGCACGGCGGGGCCCGTGCGACGCTTGTCTTTGGCGTCACAGGCTCTGGCTCGGCATCGTCCAGATTTGTTCGGATCCCAAATTCCGTTGCTCCGTTCCCGGTCTTGTGTTGTCTTGTGTTGCTCATGTCCGATATGGACGAAATGGCGATTGAACAAAACACCTTGTCTCCCGGCTGAGGCTTGGAGAGGCAGGGAGGGTTGACCGGAGCCAGGCCTCGACTGGAGCACTTGCCATTGCAAGGCCGCAGAGTCAGAGATCGTGGCTACGAAGCCGGAGGAGACGCCAAAGTTCTCCTTCTGGGACCACTTGAGGCACCGCCTGCGCGCTTGGGGTCTGGCTTACTGCATGTACGCTCCGATTGCACGCAGAGACGGCCCGTTGCCAGGTCAACTGGAAAGTCCCTGAGCTTTGAGGAGCGCTTGCAGTTCAGTCGGAAGTTCCCATGCAGTCGTTTTCATGGAGTTCGGGCCAGGCAAAGCGCCAGCGCTTGCCGCGCCCACAGCCGGCTGCGAAGCCCAACACCCCTAGTGGACATTTCAGGTGGCTACTGCATGGGTTTAATTGGGGGTATAGTATATCCTATATTATATAAGTGGTAATATCCACTTTAGCGGAACCAAAACCCGATGGGTTTGCGGCACGGCTCATTTGACTTGATCCCACCCTGACTGAGGACCTGAACTCTGCCCGCCGCCTTCGCGCTGTCCGCGGATGCCGAGCGCCAAGCTAGTGAGCTGGCGCAGACTGCCAGAACATGGAGGACACGGAGGATGCAGCGCGCGGGCGTGCGGGTGCGGGGATTCCGAGATGAGACACACGCAGACGGTCTTGGGACGCAGTTGCACCGAGCGTGGCGAGCAAAAGGAAGTGTCACATGTGGCGCATGTGGCCTGCACGTTGACCGACAGCAGCAAGTCGTCTCTTGTCGTTTCGCACTGATCCTTTGCCCGCAGCTTCGTCCTGGAAATTGCCGTGGAGGCTGGAGCCCCAGATCACTGAGGGCCTGGAACAGCTCAAAGAAAGTGTGACATTCAAATCGACGGAGCGAAGACGAGGCGCACGGTCATGGGATTTGTTCCATGGGCTGAAGGCAAGAAGAGGGGCCGCCAAAACGCATCCTGCGACTGGACAGTCCCGCTGCTTGGCATCAATCATCACTCGGGGACTTGGCAAGAAAGCCACAGCCCAGAGAGCTCAGGTGAAGCTGTACAAAGAGGCTCCAGTTCTTCCGCAGTTTTCCTGCAGTTCTTATGAGTGATTGAGTGGGTTGCAGCGGGCATGTTCCAATGGCGCACCAGGTGGATTCGCAGGAAGTCTTGGAAGAGCTTAGCAGTGGAGACTTGTTCCTCGGATTTCAGTAGGGCTCGGGCCAGCTGACTGAAGACGTAGACCTTTCGGCTGAAGGCTGATTGCCACCGGCGAGCCAGCGCTGAAGGCCTCGCGGCCTCGCGGGATTTCTTCGCAGATCGCGCCGAGCTGCTGATCTGTGCAGGTCGAAGAGGGACTCGACGACTGGCTCCTTGTGCAGGCATCCCTGGAGGCACCGCCATGCGCTCGTTGGTGTGAGGCCATGCAATGTTCCTGGCCAGGACAACGTGGAGGTCATGTCAGAACGAGCCCTGGAGTATCAGGACACAGCGGAAGGCATCTCATGCATGCGCAGATGCCATCTTGTAGGAAGGCTGGATCCATGTGCCCAGCACCAGCGTCAGCTTGGCCGCTGCCTTGGGGTCAAAGCGATGCTTTGCGACGCTTTGCGAGTTGATGTGCTTGAGGCTGAACATCAGCTTGGTGACCGAGTAGCTGGGCGGGTGGATGTGCCGGACCATCCTGTCAGAGGCTGAGCTTGGCAGATGGGGGAGAGGCAATGGCAGATTGGGGGGGCGTCTTTCAGGTCCTGAATTTGCTGAAATGGCTTCCCCTTCGAGGAGGATTCGGATGATGCGGCGTCTTCATCATCCGTTGGCTCCACCGGCAGGAATCCCTGATTGGATCCCGGGCTGCGTGTGCGAGCTGCACCCCGGCAAGGCGCTCCGAACGTCCACAAGGCGCTCCGAACGAGCGGCATGCGACTCGCGACGCGTAGGTTGGGGGCATCGTGAAGAAGGGCCGCTTCCTCCTGCAGCGGCCCTCTGGGGCGGTGCCCGCCCTCCCGGCGAGTTGAGATGCATTGGTGCAGCACGCGAATGCTGCTGCGTCGCCTTCAGGAGCGGCTGGCTTTGGAGTCTCAGATGCTGCAGACGCCGAAGGCGAGTCAAGCTTCGCGTTTTTTGTGGGACTTTGTGCCCGCCAGGCTAGGAGGCGAACCACCGCAATAGCAGCCGCTGCAGGCAGAGCATGCGTCTTTCCTGATTTCTGGCAAGCTCCAGAATTTCCAAACATTTGCAACCAATATTTGACTTGCTGAGCGGGCTGCGTCTGAGAGTCTCAGGCTTGGCTGTGGCAGCCTGCGGCGGGGTGCTGCTCCACCTGCGAGAGGCGGCCGCCCGCATCGCTCGATGTGTCTCCGATCGGAGAAACGTGTGGCACCTGCTCAGTGGCTTCGGGGCGAGACGGAGCGGAGCAGAAAGACCTGGCGGCCGCCCCAGTCCGCTGACGCCAAGGGCAACGTGACAAAATCAAAACCCGGGCAGATGAAGGGAGGTTGCAGATTTCCTTACATGGATTTGGGTGGACCATGTAAATACCAGGTTTTGATTGTGGCGCGCACTGGGTTCCGTCCCGTCACCAGTCAAGACGCCGTCAGCTTTGAGTTTGAGCGCTTGAGGCCGCAGCTGGGCGTGTGGCTCCTCTACGCGCCGGTGCGCACGCCATGCGCAAAGCGACTTTGGGAAGCGGACGTGGGGTTGAAAGCCAACTGCCAAGCTTCTCAGCCGGTTTTGGCATACCGATCTCCATGTCTTGAGTCATGTTTAGATTGAGGTGAGGGAAACAAAGCGAGGAGCTCTGGCTCGTTTCTTGGCATCGCCAGGTCCTGGTCACGCCAGCCCTTGCCTTGGGGAGAAGTGTCTCTTGGCCAGCGCAGAGATCTGGTGCGCGAGGCTGCGGCGCTGCCGTGCTATGGGCTGGCAAACTCTCCTGGGAGCACCTTGTGTGCTGATCTCAGAACTTGGTGGCTCCCAGCCATCCGGTTCCTCAGCTTTTTAGACTTGTTGCACCCACTAAAAGTTAAACTTTTAGCGGGGGATCTGAGGGCAGCCCAGATAATTTGTTGCACCAGCTTGTGTCAAGTTTTCTGGACTCCGAGGCGTTGTGGCCGGCATCAACCTGCTCTTCTACAGTGATCTGTTCAGTGAATAGTGTATGCGGAGGAAAAAAAGGGACAGCTCTTTTCTGTTCGGTCCTCATGAGTCATGCCTAACTCATCTCTTTAGGGTTTGGGGTGTGTTGTGCCAGGTGGTTGGGGGCCTCTGGGAGCGTTGCCCGTTTTGGGTGCTTTTGAATGGAGGTGCTGCCACATGTGTGGGTATTGCATGTCTAAGCTTGTCTATTGCTTAGCCGGGCAAGATAGTCGCATCCTTGCAAGCTGGCGGTGTTGTTCAAGCATGCTCTTTTGACGAGCGTACGCAAGGGCAAAACAAGTATTGAAAGTGGACATTGAAGTCATATTGTTGCAAGTATGATTACACAGATGAAAGCAACTGTGCGGCCAAAACATGTTCTCTCGCTTCCTAAATTTGGTCCGTATCATGGTACCAGAGTGCTGCCTTCATATCACTGTCCATGCCTTGGCGGGTGTCAAGCATGCAAAATGAACGTTGCCTAGTTTTTCTTCCTTGAAATTCCACATTGAGCCCAATGCTTGAACTTCCACACTGTGGTCACTATAGAAACACGAGGGTGCACTCGCAATGTGCCCATGGAGATCGGTGCGCCCGCGATGACATGACTTGGGCGTTCCGGCTGCTGGTGCTCTTTGCGGGCGTTCTGTTCGCGAGCTTGTTGCTCCGTTGGGAGATGCCCATCCCAGCGGCGCCGAGCCCAGCCTTGCCGTCGGCGCCGGCGCCGGCGCCGGCAAATGACCCGCCGGCCCAGCCGGCCCAGCCGGCCCATCCGGCCCCGGGCGGCTTGACGGAGGTGTGGCGGAGGCTCCGGGACGGCCGGAACCTGACGAACAAGAAGCACTCGGAGGGGAAGTTCTACTCCCAGGTGGGCCAAGACCGGTGGGTGGACGACGTGCTGCGGCACGCGCGGAACGGCTTCGTGGTGGAGAGCGGCGCCTGCGACGGGGACGCGCATTCCAACTCCGCCTTCTTCGAGGTGAGCCGCGGCTGGGAGTGTCTGCTGGTGGAGCCCAACCCGGCGCTCGTGAAGGCGATCTTAGCCAAGGGCCGGCGGTGCCTCGTCTTCGACGGCGGGCTGTCGCCCACCCAAAGCGCCACCTCCTTCACCTTCAAGCCCGCGGGCTTCCTGGGCGGCTTCACTGAACTCATGTCCGAGCAGCACAAGCAGCGCATCAAGCGGGAGGGCGGCGGGGGAGTGGAAATCCAGGCGCCCGATGCGACAGATGCGTTTTTTGTTGTTGTTTCTTTCTTTCTTTCTTTCTTTCTTTCTTTCTTTCTTTCTTTCTTTCTTTCTTTCTTTCTTTCTTTCTTTGTTTCTTTGTTTCATTGTTTCTTTCTTTCTTTCTTTCTTTCTTTCTTTCTTTCTCTTCTTTTTTCTTCTCTTTTTCTTTCTTTCTCTCTTTGTTTGTTTGTTTGTTTGCTTGTTTGTTCGTTCGTTCGTTTGTGTGTGTGTGTACTCGAAAGTGTCCTCCAATAGTACACAATATGAATCGATGGCAGCATTCCGGAGACATCCATCAACTAGGATCTCATCTTGCAAGGCTTTAGGCAAATGCGCATCCAGCCATCGATTGTTTCTGATAAAGACAGACCCTAGCTCGTTTTGCAAGCTTCTCGACCGGCGCACTCATCCCTACACAGCCCAGCAGCCTTCTGCTACAAAATAGCCACTCTCCATTTCTGGACAATGATGGCTCCTTTTGCCGCTCACTACTTTACTTGCTGTGGCTGAACATGACTGAACCCTGCTCGAAGTATTGTGGCGTGGCTGTATGCTCATAAAGCCACGATAATTCTTGCCTCTCGCTTTTAATTCTTTGCGATGGAGATAAACAGTCTCCGGCCACAGGATAAGCGCTTTTCTTGGCAACAAACATAAATCAGAATGGCATTGTTGCAAGGTGCAGGCTCGCGTGTATTTTTGCCAGAAACCGCACTCATGAGGGGAGATTAGACCAGACATCCATGAAAGTCTGTGTTTTTCCCTAAGACATCAACTCGCGTTCGGAACATCTATCAGTGAAAGTCCATGCTTCTTCTCCTAAAAAGTTCGACTCCGCTCCGCCTCGTTGGGAAAACCTTCGTTTTTACATTTATCCGCCTAAAACAGTTCGACTCCCCTAAACCCTAAACCCTAAAATGCCCCAAACCCCAAACGTTGGGAATGCCCCGCCCCCCCCTTCCGGGTCCCGTTTTGGTTTTGGGCAGGTGCCGGCCTTCCCGCTGGCGGAGATCCTGAGAGCGGTGAACCGGAGCTCGGTGGACTACTGGTCCCTGGATACCGAGGGCAGCGAGGGGGCCATCTTGGAGGCCACCGACTTCCGGAGTTTGGAGGCGGGGAGGTGGGGGGGGGGTTTGGGGGTTCGGGGGTACCTTCTTAAGGAAAGACACGAGGGGTGGTTCTGTAGGGGGGTTCTGTAGGGGGGTTTTGGGGGGGGGGGGGGGTACCTTGGGGTTTAGCCTGGTTTTGGCCTGGTGGTGTTGACCCTGCTGTGAATTCCCAGGTCATGATTTTGTCCGGGAAGGAGGTTGAAATTTGAAATCGAAGGGATCTCGATTTGCGTATCTGGAGCCGAAGTGTGAATCGATGGGACCTCAGGTGGGGGTCATGACCGTGGAGCACAACGGGGAGCCGGGCCCGCGGCAGCGGATCCGGCGGCGGCTGCTGCAGCAGGGCTTCGCCCTGGCCAAGGAGGGCGGCCAAGACGACTTCTTCGTGAACCCCGCATACCTCGCCCAGCGCGGCCTCCAGCGCTGAAGCGCTGAAGGGAGCCTTTGAGCTGGGCCAGGAGACCCAAAGCGGGCGGAAAGCGAGGAGATGCGGGGCCGGTCACGGGCAAAGACTTCGAGGATGGGAGACGCGGCAACCCCCGCGCTGGATGAAAAGAGGGCCGGGGGGCAAGGCCAAGTGAGGGCGTTGGATCAGCATGGCATGTGTATGTCACGCAGCTTTGAAAAGCCTCATTAAGCTTCCAAAGTGAGCTTTTTAAACCCAACGTCTGCCAGCGCAGTCTTTGCACCCAAGGCTTCAAAGCAACAGGTCGCTACAGAACGCAGCACTCAGCCAGACAAGCAAGAGTTCACCCCGCTCTTTGCGGCTTGCGATGGCAAGGCATGTGGGCCGAGCATGCAGGCGGATGGAGCGTTTGGGGTTCTGGGCGGAGAGTTTGGGGTGCAAGGATGGACTCTCGGCCGCCATCTCTGAAGCCTTGGAGCCGGTGCAGCACCTGGAGAAGGAGTGGTGAGTGCCGATTGTGAGGGGAATGAGGGGATATGGTTCAAGGACACACACCTCTGACGACTTTTTTGGTACATCTAAGGAGGGCAATCACATGGGACTGGGGGGAATGAAAGTACCATATGTAGGGCGGTTCAATTCGTGGGGGATGACGAGGGGGAGATGGGTCTCTTCTGCGCGGAAGGACTGGGACCGCTCCAAGCTCACGAAGCGCATCCGTGCCACCCCTCAGAGGCCTGGTGGTTGGTGTTTTTGGCCGGCACGCCGAGGTGACTACTTCCGCAAGGCTGGCAAATCGCTGGACTTCCGCGAGAAGTTTGCCGCCTTAGAGACGATTTTGGGGATCGACGCATGGGTGAGACGATATCAACTCAGGTCTTGGCTGGTGCTGGTAAACGAGTATGCGGATTCCGTGTTCTCGTCGATCTTCCAGGCCATCGGCGACAGGCGCGCTTCGCTTCGGCGACCGGCGTCGCTTCTTGGCGACGCTCGTTCTCCGAGGCCCTGGCTTGATCAGGTGGACTTCATCCTGGTGCTGGATGCCGGCATCAAGGCCAAGGTGGGAAAGCGGTTCGGCTAAGACGCGTCCTGGAGGAATTCTTCCCTGGCCACGTCACGCGCGACGTGTCGGAGCCTCGGTCACAGAGTCGTGGAGCCCAAAAGGGGCCATGGGGAGGGAGGGAGGGCTATCTCTTATTAACCCGTAAGGGCATATCCTTGGCCTATCCTGGGCCCATCTAGGGATAGCCCCTAGGGTCAACGACATGGAAGACCTGCTCAAATGTGCGCTCTTGAACTGACCCCAGGCCTTCGGAGGAGTTCCAGCAGGGTGTGCTGGCGGCCCACGACCGCGCCTTTGAGGCGGGGCTAAAATCGCGTTGGGAGCCTCCCACGGAGACTTCGAACTAGTCTTGCTGGTGCGACAGGTAGGGAATGAGAAATGCCATGAACCTGGGGAATCCCGAATCAGGGAAGCTACCATAGGGGATGGTTTTTCTTGGGGTCATTCCATTTCTCATTCCCTGGCTATCGCACCAGCAAGTCGTTCGAGGAGCAGAGGTTCCTGCCGAAGATCTGGGCGGCCACAGAGCACCTGGGCATCACGGGCAAGGAGGGGCCCCGCACTGGACAGAGCGATGAGTTCATCGACATGTCCACAATGTGAACGCGAGGCTCGCAAGAGGGCGCTAGACAGCATCGATGAAGGCCGCAAGGCCAGGGCACACGGGACACACGCCACAGCCATGTGGGCTGAAAAAAATACCCCGCGCCTTTTCGTTATGTAAGGGGCCGTCCCTTAACTTGTTTCGCAGGCCAAAACCATTGTAAACCGATACAGAGGAAAAAAAGCCGATACCCCCAGAAGCCATGAAGGCACACATCAGGTCCTAGTTGTTGTCGCAAACCAAGATTGCGGAATCATAAATTTGCAGGGCCCAAACCGATACCCAAACCGATACCCAACCGATACCCAACTCATTGGCCGCCATGCCGAATCCAACCAGCTGCCCTGCAGCCTTCTCTGGAGCTGCCAACATGTACTTTGTGTACTACATTTGTACTGAAAAGTTGCGACTGCCGCTGTGGAGCTGCCAAAATGTACTTCGTATACTACACCATACTACACTTGCTTGCACTGAAAAGCTGCGACTTTCGAGCCGGAGCTGCCAAAGTGTCCTGCGCATACTACTGAAAAGTTGCTACTTTCCAGCTGGAGCTGCCAAAATGTACTTTGTGTACTACACTTGTACTGAAAGTTGCGATTTCCAGCTGGGGCTGGGAGCTGGCAGAGTGTACTTCGCATACTACACTTGTACGGAAAAGTCGCGACTTTCGAGCCAGAGCTGCCAAAACACTGCAAACCGATGCAGAGGAAAAAAACCCGATACTGACCGATACTGAGGCATAAGGATACAAGGGTTGTCCACGGGGTTTTTTTTTCAACCCATGTCTCGGCCCTTTGAACAAGAAACTGTCCTTTGAGAGAGACTTGGAACATGCTCATATTATATGTTTAGTAGGATCATTCGGCCAAGTGCAAGCTGCTTGCAGGTGGCTCTAAAGCTGATGCGCGACCCCGCCTCTCCGGATGAGGCGAAGGCGTGTCTATGTTTGGGCATGGCAACTTCCGGTTGCCGATTCCCAAAGTGTCACTCAAATTTGCCGAAGCTCTATGGGACACTTCCCCACTCTTTTCAGGGATCCTTCTTTTCAGAAACCAGAAATTTCAGGGGAAACATCGATGGGTTTTGGAAAAGACTGCACATGGTTTAAAAATTGAAAGTGGAATCGGAGTCCACCCCCAGAGAAGCCTTTCGGAGGCCTTCGTGTCCCGATGGGTCGACTCGGCGCTGCAGCGGCTGACCCAGTGCACTCAAGGACCCGCGGACTTTTTGGAGTCCGCAGCCGCGTGATCTGGGCAGGAGATCCTGAAGCTGCAATGCGCTCAGAGCACAACCTTACCTCGGAGGTGAATTTGGAGTCCATACTGTAGGTGCTGGATGAGCAGCAAGCTACAGAGATGTTCACACTGCTGTTGCAGGCCTGTGAGAGGGATTGCCAGGTCGATTGGCCATGTTTGACTCTTTGCATTTGGATGCCTTTGAATGGTGTGGCCTGTCGACAATGCACGACCAAAGAAACTTGATTTGAACAGCCGGCACGATGCTCACGCATGCTCGCACACGCTCGCGCGCCAAATTTGCCCGAGCCGTAGACTCATGATGTAGCCCTGGGCGGATCAGGTGGCCAAAGGGTAAAACATCCTCGCCCGCATGTGATGACCTAGCCCTCGGATGGAAGAGGCCGTTGCAGGCCATGAGGCCCGACGGGCGCGACTGAGCGTGACGTGTTGCTGGGCCACAGGACGCCATGCCGCTGTTCGGGGGGGTCGCTGGCAGGTTGTAGCGATCTGACGATGGCTGGATGCAGAAGGGAGGGGAGCTGCCGAGGTGCGCTGCCCGTCGAGTTCCGATGCCGCATTCGGTTGAACTTCCGGTGAACCCACTCAGATTGAATTCGGTTCATGTCCGGTACATCCTGAGAGGCTCACAGGCTCCAGGCGCAAGTTACACTTCAGCAGCCTCAGCTCAGACCAGCCATCATAGCGCGATGGAGGGAGCGGGGTTCAGCTGAATGAGTTAGCCCAGAGCCATGGAGATTGAGAGCTTGGAGCATAACCCGGTGCCCGCAGCTTGCCAGACACTGCCATGAGTGCTTTGTATTGTTGGTTTGTGTTCTTTTCTTGCTTCAACGGAATCCCGCAATCTTTCTGCCCAGGAATGGGTGGCGGGCATGGTTGGCCGGCGCCCCAAAGGATGCATGATCAGTTGGCCAACGGCCGCTTCAAGGTGTCCTGTCTGGTCTGCTGGTGCTGCTGGTTATCTTCCTCACCACCAACACAGCCGAGCCAACCAAGGAGGAAGCCGCCAACCAGCCCTTCGGCCGGGGTTTCTTTCAGGGCCGAGGCAAATTTGTGAACCCCAAGTGCCCTAGTTGGACGACGAGCCAAAGCCTTCGGTGCATAGGTGTCCTTTTTGGTTTTGGCCAAAGAATAGCTGGCGATTCCTGGTTTACCAGGTGGTCTACTCATCCACCAGGGAAACCCATCTATTTCCCCCAACAGGACGCCAAAGCCTTCGGCGCCTTCTGGTCCGGACCGTGCCGAGGCGGAGCTTCCGCGCTGGGCTGTTGCGGAGCCTCTTCGGCGGGCGACTGGCGCTGGCCGTGGTGGCCTCCTTCGTGCTGTGGCTCCTCCTGACGCCGCCTGACGAAGCGTAGCACCTCCGGAGGGCTCAGCTTCGGTGTTGAGGGCTTCCCCCCTAAACGGGTAGGGGGACACAGCCTGATTCACAAGCCCAAAGAAGAGACCCAAGGCTTGCGTTGCTCGCTTAGGCTGGCGATCATGGTGCCCTTCTTCTGGTTTTCCCCGGAAGCCCCGCCCAAGCCAGGCAAGGTGCGCAGTGCGCATATCCATTTCTGAATCATGATGAATCGTCCAAACTCTGCCGCGGTATTGCCGGCTTTCTCCATGACTGTCTGACCAAGCTGGTGCTTCGATGCTGATGCCAGGCTTGAATTTGACCGCCTCCATCAACTTTTGCGAGGGCCCAGACTTTGTGCACTCCGAGCTGCTGGCAGAACCGGTGAATGCACTTGGCCCCAGAATTTGGACAGCCAACTGCTGCTGCCAAAGCGCTCTGCGCTCAGGTGGTGACTTCATTCCTCTTCTACTTGCCTGTGGGGTTGGTGGGCCTTCTTGGGCCCAAGGAAGGCGAAAGGGCCGAGGGACAGTTTAGGCGCGAAGTACTTCGTAGCCACTTGCAAGTCGTAGCCACTTGCAAGGGCACCTTTCGATGGGCCGCGTAGCCTGCTTGTAGCCCCTTTGGCTTTAAACTGAAGGCCTATGTTGAAACCAAGGCATCCAAAGGGGGTTTATTGGAGTTCCGGCCTGGGCAGATCAGAGTTCTCTCGTTCGTTTTCTCAGCGTAGCTTTCCAGGTTTGTTCGAGTTCACTTACGTTCCCACCTTCACATCCATTCCATAATTGAAACAGAAAATAGCAACAGCAACAGCAGCAACAGCAGCAACAGCAACAGCAACACTACTACTACTACTACTACTACTACTACTACTACTACTACTACTACTACTACTACTACTACTACTACTACTGCTACTACTACTACTACTACTACTACTACTACTACTACTACTACTCCTGCTGCTGCTGCTGCTGCTGCTACTAGTACTACTACTACTACTACTAGCACCACCACCACCACCACCACCACCACCACCACCACCACCACCACTTCCACTTCCACTACCACTACCACTAGTCAGATGCTTGGGGTGAGAGAAAGCGTGCTTCCAGCGTTTTTCGGCCTTACACGATTGTATGGCTGTGGGTCGAAACCAATGGTACCCTTTTGGGGCAGGTGCACTGGGGATACGATTTGGATTTTGACCCATGGCCATAAGCCACGGCTCGCCTCGCGCGATGTGTCAGGCCGCAGAGAGCTGCGCTTCGCGCTGAGCTATGGCTCCATCGGCCTGGCCGGGGCTCCCAGCGCCAGCCCACGGCACCCCCAACCTCAGTGCGACAGTTACTTCCATTGACCGAAACACCCGCACTTGGGGGTTGATCAATCTTTCTGGCCCCCGAAATATTATCTATTCTTTCAGTGGTTTCCCCAATGGTCGTCCCATGTACAGGACCTCTTGATCAACCCCCATTGGCCAACTCATCACTGCGCCTGGGAGCCTTCCGAGATCGGATTTGGCTCTGGAGCGCTGCACGCATCTTTGGATGCAGTGGCGCAAGCGGGAGACGAATTGCCCATGCTGCACCTTGGCTGCTTCACAGTGCTATTGCGGCCATGCAACAGCGTTGAACAATTGCGGCCTTTTGATCAATGAGTTTGGTTGCTTGTCAAGTGATCTGGGATCGTATGGATTGGCCGAGCTGAGGTATGTCGATGCCCCGGTGAAACATGCATTGTAGAATCTTGCTGTGTGCCGTCGCGAATGCCATGCGCTCGCTGTGAGTCTGCTGGGCAGAGTTCTGTCGCGAGTCGCGAGTCGCGAGGCAGCTACTATGCTGTGCTTCTGTTGTGTGGATACCTTCCTCACCAAGGAAGGCCGGTGCCTTCTGAGACCAGAGAAAAGCCATGAGCATGAGTCCCATGAGGCATGCAGCAAACTTCCTCCTGGCTGCCTTGGCTGACAGCAGCCGTCACACTTGGCAACACTGTGATGCACCTCGGTTTGTGTAAGGATTGTAATATGCAAACCCTGTTCGCAACATCGCGAAATCATGTTCATGTATTATATAAGTAAACGCTGTTGTATAGTCGCGCCGTTTTCACTGGCATTCCACGCAGTCCTGTCACCCAGAGATTCAGAGGCAGGCGAATCAGGTAAAACGGCAGCAGCAGGTACATAGCCTCGCGAGATGACTTTGGCATGTTTGCAATCACCTTTGCACTCTATGCCTCCGTGTCTGTTGCCTACTTCAGCAGCTCAGCTTAACAACAGTGTGCAAAAGTGTTGCATGAGTGATTCTCAGAGTTGCATACTTCTGCACTGACAGGTTGTTATTGCCTGCTCCTTGGCACGCATTGTTTTTTGTAAAACCGGTTGACTTGAGCCAATTTAAGTGCAAATATCATCAGAATCGTGCACAAGTTGTCACCATTGATGTGGCTGTGGGTCAAAAATAGGGTAACCCCAAAATGGGTTGCCCTGGTAAAAGGAAACATGGACCAAAACCTGCGGTCCATTTCCAGTGGTTCAATTTTGACCCATACCCACATGGCCATGGGTCAAAATCCCGTACCCCCAGTGAACCCCACTATAGACCAAAATGGGTGGTGCACCTACCCCAAAATGGTACCATTGGCTGTATGTTGACCCACAGCCATGTATTTTTATTCCATCCGAAGGCGTGTGGTCTCTGCCACCTCGAGCGACATGGAGGGCCCAGTGCGCTACCAGGCCCGACCCCTTGCCCTTCCTATGTTAGGTTTGCAGGATTTTAGGGTTTAGTGGGGGTTTCTTTTTCACCCACTAAAAAAACATAAACTTTTGGTTTCCTTTTAACCCACCCAATTTTTGAGCAGGGGATCTGAGGACAGCCCGGGAATGAAGCCCCTGAGGTGGTGCGGCCCCTGAGTCTCTGCCTGGGCGCCAGCCTGGGCCTCGCCGGGATCTGCTGGGCGCTGGAGATGGGCGCCTGCTCCGCCGTGGTGGGCCGCCCGGGGGCCCAGCCCCTGCCGCATCCGTGGCCATCCGTCACGCGGCCGGACGTGCCATGCGCGCGGATTTGGCTGTGGTGGTCAAAACCGTTGTGGTTGATCCGATTTTGGATGGTAGGTGAATTCACACCTGTTTTAGAGAATGGGATGTTCACTGGGGGTGCGATTTGGATTTTGACCCATGGCCACTTCCTGTAGGTCAGCTCTTGGGGGCCACTTGGGCGCCCTTTTTCTGGCGCTACGTGCCGCCTGGACGCAAATTGGGCTTTGAGATGAGGCGTGCTTTGGTCTAGTTTGAAGGGAGGGAAACTTTCAAACGAAGTGGCTTTGGCAAGACCAACTTGTGAGGTTGCACTCCTGCTGGCACGCGGGCACGGCCATGGCCGGCGTGCTGATGAGCCATGCCCCGATAATTTTCGCTGCGAAACGCCGATCATCACGCCACTTTTTGACACGCTGGCGAGCGTGTCAGCATGGCGAGTTAAGGATCCAGAACCTTCTCGTTGTCAGAGCCATGCAAATGGGCTGGGGCCATCCACAGCTTCTCTGCTGCACGCTGCAATGCTCATGCATGGCTGCAGGGGCATGCTGTTTGGTGGATGCCTGCTTTATTCGCTCTCCGGAGCCGAGGTTAGATTGGTTTGGGCTCCCTTTTGTCCGATTTGATGGCAAAGCAGAGTGAGCACCAGCGTCGATCAGAGACCGCAAGAGCGGCTTCCCTGAGCCTTTTTGTGGCACTGCGCACACTTTGTGTCCTCCCGCAACGGGGTTGGTCCCGTTCCCCACGAATTGTGTGGAGAAAGGGAGACAAAGTGCTCAGAAAAATGCCGCTCCTCGCCAGTCGCCAGCTGCACGTTGCCAGCGCCAGGCGCCGCTCCGACGTGGGTGCTTCCACCAAGGCCCCGGGAAAGCAATTCCAGCCGTTGCCGTTGGTTCGGCCTTGAGCCTTGGAGAAGCTGAAGGACTCGCTTTGAGCGCTTTGGGGTTAAAGTTTGAGGTGGATGAACCTGGGCACTTGTGCTTGCAAGTTGCTGTCAGAGCCGTCCCTCGGAGTTGGGCTCAAGGCCCTGCCGCCTGACAAGACAATGGCTTTCGACTCAGGGGATTCAAAGCGCGTGCGGAGCAAGCGCTTGGAGCACCGCGCGAAGTTGCACAAGCACACAGACACGCAGACACACATGCACATGTACATCTATTTGTGTATATATGGTACACGCACACACACACACACAGTCACACACACACACACACAATTTTTAACCTTTCGACTTGAAGGACTTGCGGCCAAGGGCGCCACGCGCGAAATTCTGGCCATGGCCATGCAATCCAGCGCTTCCATCTCGGAAGGCAAAGGGATCCGGCATTCCTCGACCCACGCGGCGGAGCCCTGGCAGTCAGAGAGTCAGAGAGTCAGAGAGTCAGAGAGTCAGAGAGTCAGAGAGTTAGAGGTAGGTCGGAGATGGAGGTGCGGAGCCAAGGATCAAACCGTTTTGGAAGGCGTGGGAGCAACTTCTCTGAGATTCAAGGGAAAAACTGGAAAAGAGGTGAAAAGCTGCGTAGGTGTGGACCAAGACAAAAAGCTATGGCACGGAAGAGAAGCAGCGGCTGCCGCATGGCGTGACTTGAGTCTTGGCTGCTGGGCCGCGCCACGGGAGTGCTTGAGGCGACGGTCCGCAAGCACGTGGAGACCCAGCAGGCGGGATGGATTGTATTGGACCCGAAGGTAGGCTAAGAGCGAGAGGCGATGGATGGGTTGGGACCCGAAGCTAAGAGGCGCCAAGGGCTGAAGGGAGAGAAGGAGGGAGTGCCGCGCCGCGAGGGCACAGTGAAGGGCACCCTGGGCATGGTGCAAGGCCTGGAGCCCCGGGAGAGAGGGGGGGTTGGGCTTTTGCGGTGCAACCCAATCGCTTCCTCGTTTCTTTTTGGTGCGATAGATTTGAGGCTGTGGCAAAGACGAGCGAATGAATAAAATGAAGACTGACACGTTGGCCCGCCTTCAATCCAAACGCCTTTGATACGACGCAGGTGTGATCTTTCCCTGCATGGGCAACATTCTGGGCGTGATCCTGTTCCTGCGTGGCCCATGGAAGCATGGCTGCAGCTTCATGGTGAGGGTGGAACAAAACTCGTTGGCAATCCGCGCAGGATCGTTGGCAAGGGCGGCATATTGGAAGCCTTCGGGGTGGGAGCGGTCTGCTGCCACTTGGCAAGTGGAGCCCATTTCCTAGGGGAACATAGGCCTTGTATCGTGCCGCATGCCAGGACACGAAGCGTAGAGGCATCCGTGTGATTGGATCGGCTTAGGCACTTGTACCTTCCTGACGACTCTCAGTCTCTCTGCCATTGCCACCAACGGTAAAATCGCTGGTGGTGGTGCATACTATTTGATCCTCAGCTGTACTGTCACCGCTGTCTTGTGACCCTGAGCTCCGTATCTCAGTCGTGCTTTGGGTTTCCAGCTCCCAAGGATCTCCCGGTCTTTAGGCCCTGCACTTGGAGCTGGTGTGGGTCTTTGCTTCTACATGGCACCCAGGCCGCACAAACGAGTTGCCTGCTTGGACATGGTGCAAAGTGCCGTAGTAGTCGTAGTAAGGCAAACTCCATTGGAGCTGCTATGTACTTTATGGGCTGCAGCTTGGTAATGCAGGACATTTGCCTGTGGAAGTCAGTTCTCCAAATGTCTAGCGATGCATGGGAGCAAGTCTTTTCCGAGGTGTTGAAGCCTGGGAGATAGCGCAGCCTGACTACCAGCCGCCCACACTGCATGAGCTGTAGCTGCCTTTTTGGCCCTTGAATGTTGCAAGGATTGGGGTGATTGGCGACTTGAACAACGTCCGCTTTTCGGGCTACATCATCCTGGCCGTTGCTGTCTTCATCATCTTCGGCGGCATCAAGCGCCTTGAGTTCAAGCTTCCGCTCAGATACGTGGAGAGGGCTCGAGCCGAGGTATGTCTCGCGCCTGGGGACCCTCTTCCTCATGGTGGTGCTGCCCTAGCCCCGGAGCTTGGGGCTTGCTCCAAGTTGGACGGAGGCATGGGCATTGTCTCGCTGTCTACGAGTCCTAAGAGTCGAAGCTGAGGTTTGTGATCCTTTGCATGTACATCGGCTGCCTCATGGGCCCCACAGACAGCAGGCCTGCCACCTACACGGCTCCTCGGCTCGCAGTTCCAAGCAGGCACCTGCCCAAACGGCCCAAATTGCCGACGTCACCAGCGGTCGCGCGCCAGGTTCCCATCGTGTCAGATGGCATCACCATTCAGAAGACGTTGACTTGGACAGGCACGGCCCAGTTGGAGTTCGGGAGTTGGGAGCTCACGATGGTTTTGTTGGAAGTCTAAAGGAAACCTCCCTCTTTGGATGTCACATGGCAACACAAGCGCGGCCAAGCTTGGCACGAGGTCCCTCTGCCGCCTCGTTCGAGGACAACTGGAAGTCTGCCTGGGATGCCCCGCAGATGGCCTTCCCCAAAGATACCACAGAGCGCCTCAACACGGCGATGTTCTTTGCTTGTGCAAGTACCAAGTGGCTGTGGGTCAAAGCCAATGGTACCATTTTGGGGTAGGTGCACCACCCATTTTAGAGCCAATTTTTAGTGGGGATTGGGATGTTCACTGGAGGTACGGGATTTTGACCTATGGCCAAGTCGTGTTTTGTGGAGCGACCGGCGCCAAGCACCGAAGTGTGAGGTATAACTTTGTAAACATGATGGGCCTGTACTTCCCCTCCGTCACGGGCATCATGGCTGGTGCCAACCGCTCTGCTGACCTCGCGGACCCCACCAGGTCTATCCCCAAAGGGCGCCTTGGCCGGAATCGATCGATGGATGGGCAGATGCATCGGATGATGAGACGATCACTGCGGCTGTAGGACTCTCTTCGCACAGATTGCGACCACCATCATCTACCTCTCCTTCATTTTTGCCGGGTTGCCCAGTTCTTTGGGTTGCGCAAAAGCCCTTGGGTGTGAGGGCTTTCGACTGCTCGGGAGTCGGCTGAGGTCTTCGGCTGCACGGCTCCCAGGGAGACACTTCTGAACGACAAGTTCTTCGCAGCTTGGGCTTAGCCAAAGCTTCGAAAAGCCCGGAGCCAGAGATGACTCTCACGGTTAGTTCATTTTTTTCCCCGAGTTGGCTCTCGCTCTTTTCCAGAAGATTGGGACATCCGAGGCATCTACCTCCGCCTGGCCCTTCAAAGAGGCGGGGCTTTTCTCGGATCTTGGATGGTTTTTGCCTCTCCCATGAGCTCAGCCTGCGTTGCCTTGGCAGGGCATTTCTTGCTTTGGCTCGTTTTTGTCTCCCATCGCCTGAGCTCAGCCTTGTGTCTCACTTTAGGTGGTGATCTACGGGGTCATGGCCTCCAGCCTGGGCGCGGGGCTGAACTCCCTGGTCTCGGGCACCAAGCTGCTGAGCGCCATCGCCGGGGACGGCACCTTGCCCATCCTGCGCTGCTTCCGAGCGGCGTGGGCCTCGGAGAGAGAGCTGGCGGGGGGGTTGCCTGCAGTGGCGGTGGTGGTCCGAAAACATAGGGTAACCCCAAAATCGGGGGTTGCCCTGGTAAATGGAAACCTGGCCAAAACAAAATGCGGTCCGTATGCTGGTGGTTGAGTATGTTGAGTTTTGACCCAAAGTGAGAGCTGACTTGGCGACGTGCTCCGTAGGCGCCAGGCAAAGAGCCGCGATTGGCGCTGCTGGTGCCTCGCCGCGCTTGGCAAATATGTCTTTGTTCTTTGGGGCAGTTGGCATCGCTCCCCACGTGGCGTTTGGTTGCGATGTTTCGGCTGAGGCAAGCGGGGCTCTTTGCGCGGCCTCCATCACCATTGGCGAGTCAGGGGCTCGGAGAGTCTGGTCGGAGAGGGAGTTTCCTGCTGTCTGAATGCAGGCTGAATGCCATTGCGCCCCTGCTGACGATGTTCTTCCTGATGTGCTACACTTGCGCTTCTTGGCTGCAGCTCAGCCTTTGTCTCCCTTGCCTCCAGCCACATGCGAGCCGTGCGCCAGGTGAACATGTCCTGTACGATCCTGCACTTTGTGAGTGACCCCAACTGGCGGCCCACCTTCCGCTTCCACCACTGGTCCATCTCCCTGATCGCCGCGGCGCTGTGTGCCGGGCCCTCGCGCTTTCGAATGCTCGCGACCCCAAACGCCGGCGGTGCGGCTCAAACGGCTCTGAGGTGTGGATGATGTTCGCCATGGCTCCCATCATTGCCATGGCAGTGGCTGGTCGCAGTCAGAAGAATCGCTCCCTGCGATTGCTCCCGTCACCCGAGGCCATCCTTTTCTGTGGCCTGATCTTGGCCTACGCCGCGTACAACTCCGCCAACACGAAGTGGGGCGATGGCTTTCAGGGCATGAAGTTTCAGCCGGGCCCTTTGTCAAGATTCGATTGCCCTGCCACCTGCCTTCACTTTTTCCCGGAGGCTTGCCAAGAACATCCTCATCAGTTTGCTGGCTGCAGTGGGCTACGACTCATGCGGGATGTTTTGCTGAGGGCGCCCCTTCGCGCCGCACGAAATTTGGGGCTTCCTGTTTGGACGAACCCGAAGAGCCCCAGGTATGGATGCCAAGCTCCACACCAAGAACTGGCGCCCGCAGCTGCTCGTGGTGACGGAGCCGAAGATGAGGCGCCGAAATGATCCGACGCGCCCCAGCGCCTTCTCGGGGGGCGTCCGATGTCCGAAGTTGCTTTAGCCCTACCCAAAGCGTTCGGCAAATCTGTGGCATGGTAATTGCCACAGCTGCGCCGGCGCTGTTCACACCGTTGGCCGTGTGTGGGGCGCTCGCGGAGGGTGTGAGGCTTGCTGTATAGGCACCGGCACCTGGCACCCTTGGGGCCAACGCACCCAGAATCTGGGTGTATGACAGCAAGGCGATGTGCTAATGCGCTTGCTGGGGGTGCTCAACCGTTCGCTTTGTCCGCGGGCTAGGAGGGGAGGCCACCAGAAGTCGCGAAGTTCGGCGGAATCTCGACTCATGGGACCGGCTCACGGGTCGCACCGCAGGTCACTGAGCTCCTTAGAAGGATCTGCCAGGGCCCCAGAGACCCCGACAGCAGCACAGCAAGTGATGGCTCCAGTTTGTCTCGCTTGGCCTCCCTTGTCGTGTCGGGTCGTCTCCCTCGGTTTTGGTCTCCTTGGCCCTTGCCTCCCTTTGCACTCAAGTCCAGTGAGGCATTGCACTTCCCAGACTTGGAGATTCTGAAGACGGCCTCGCAGATGAAGAACGGCCGTGGCTTCATCGTGCTGGGCGGGATTTGCTCTGGCAAGGCCCCAGCACTGAGCTGAAGAATTGACCTGAGAAGGGCGTCACTTGCATTGTGTCCGTACAACTCTTCTGGTTTGTTCACCCACGGTGACTAGGGGAAGATGCTCTCCCAAGGAGGCCTTTTCCTGAGTGACGCTCGGCAGTTGCAGTGCATGCGAGGGAGACGAGATACTTCTCCCTTTCATGCAGGTCTCAAGCCTGCCCAACTGGCACCGCATCTAAGGAGAAGATGGCAGACCAGGTGGCTGAGGGCAATGGCGAGGTGAAGGAATTGCTCGAAAGGTGCGGAATCTTTGCCCTTGGCGCCGAGGGATTTACGTTCCAGGTACATGATCGATGGCTTTGGGAAGATTGTCTATGCGGACAGACTGCCGACGTGTTGCCTTTGCAGTTTCTTTTGCAAGCCGCTTAGAGCTGCAAAGCTTGAGGACGACTTCACGGCGGGCTTGGCGGACCTGGTGCAGAGCAGCGGCATGGGCGCCTTCGAGCCCAACTGCATCCTGGCCGCCTGGCCGAAGAACGCCCTGGGCGACGACGTGCAGAGCCGCATCAAGCTGGCCACGAGCCCAGCGAGCCGAGCTTCGAGCCTCGAGCCTTGAGCCTCGAGCCTCGAGCTTCGCGTGGGTCGGCCCGAGGTGAACATGGTCCAGCCGCGAGCCCAAGTATGCAGATGGCATGCCTAGAGTGGTGGGTGAACTCAGGATCTCGGCGATTTTCCAGAAGGCTCCCTGGCAGGTGAGACAGCAGACAGCAAACGCATTCTCCCAGGTGATGATTCTCACGAAGGGCTTGGAATGGCCGGAGTTTGAGGACTGGCAATGACTCCCCCAGCTCCCAACCACCAGACCGAATCTGACAAGCGCCGATCAAGCGAGGAACGCTTGGCGGGCAACATTGACATTTGGTGGATTGTGGGCGACGGAGGAGTTCTTACCTGAGCTGTTCGCAGTGTTTGCACTTGACTTTGCCAATCTGAGGTTCTGCTGCTTCTGCCCAGCCTACTGAAAAAGCATCGGGTGTGGTCCGGGTGCCACATCCGTCTCTTTGTCTTGGCAGACAGGCAGGGCCCGTCACCCGAGAGGGTAGCGGAGCCAGTCAATCTGCTCGGTCTGCCCAGGGCTGGAGACGATGTGGATCAGATGCAGCACGAGCTAGACACGTGCCATGAGACCAAAATACCCTATGGTCCCATGGCCCCATGCCATACACAACGCGAGAGGTACGTGCGCGACTTCCGCTTGAAGATCGAAGTGCACATTAAGGCATGCTCGGACACTGGGACACTCGGACGCACGCACTCCGTCGGCCTTCGGAGGTCGTGGATCAGGTGGTGGATCCGGTGAGCCCAGACTTCATGGCCCCGCCAGATGATGTGGTGCCCAACGAGCGGCTGGGCAGCGACCAGCATGCTTTTGCGTGTCACTTGGGACTTGGGACTTGGCTTTTCGGCCGGCTTTTCCCCTTGGCATCCTTTGCATCCTTTGTATCCTTTGGCTTTTGTGTGAGGGCGCTTGGCCGTGCGAGGGACGGGCGCAGCCAAGGTATGTTGAGCTGGAGGAGGGAAAGCGGAAGACCGACTTGCCGGTGCGGGTGACCAGTGGCCAGAGTCTACAGGCGGGGTTGCTTTGGCTGTGTCTTTTCGGGGACCTCCAAAATGGTTCTCCTGTTGGTGTTCCTTAAGCCGAACGGAGGGGGAGCCGCATGGGCCGAACGCGGCAGACTCGACCCTGGGACCTGGGACTCTCTGTAGGACGCCCTGAACCGCTGGCGTGGCCGGGGCTTCACGCGCGAAAGGTCCTACGATAGCAGAGGCGGGGCTCGCTTTTCAGCGGCGAAGCCGGCAGTTTGTGCCTGGAATGGACTGGGGACGACGGTGCAATCCTTTGAGTCGAAGGGTGTGAGGTACCGGCATCCTAGGCATGCAACTGAAGAGTTCATGCACTTTGCGCTGACATGCTGGTACTCGCGCCAGTGGATGACGTGACCCAGAGCAACAATTCAGTTTCCTGGCCGCTTGGCTGAGCTTGACACGTGTCAAACTCTGCAGCCAGCCATAGTATACTTTCTTTCAGTCCATTTGATAGATCAGATGAGCAATGCTCCATCATGATTGTCATCCACTGTAGCAAAGGGGATGTCATTAGGGCACTCTTACCAAGTTCCCATTTCAACATCGTGCTGACATGCCAAAATCCAACGTCATTTGGCCACACAAATGGCTGTCCTATCCAGGGCCTTTTCGGAGCCAACAAATTTCCTTCAGCGGGCCCATGAGAGCTGCCAGCTTGGCCTAAAGACCCCGCTCCCCGCATCGACCCAGTAGAAAGCACCGAGGCTTAAGGTTCATAACCCCTCCAATGCCCCCATTGGCACTGCTAGGAGAACCCGTAACGCCACAGCGACCGGCTCAAGCACCCTCAAAAGGCGCCGCGCCACAATTTTGAACCTCCCTCCCCCCCTTCCAAAAAAAAAACCACAGAATGATCCACACAAGTTTCAAACACAGCAATAAAACACACCTACAACTTTGAAATAAAACGACTATATAATCATGAACCAAATAAAGACAAGAGGCTATGGGTCAAAATTCAACCAGGATTATGGACCGCAGGTTTTGGTCCATGTTTCTACTAGGGTTCCATTTGGGGGTTACCCTATGATTGACACAGCCAAATGTCAGCACGGAGCCTGTAGGGTGCTTGGAGTTGCCGTTTTCGGCGGCTTCGGCGGCTTCGCTTCGAGGTCCGCGCGCCACGGCCTTCGCGGCAAGAAGGCGCCCTTCCCCGAGCGCCTGGCGCAATGGGCGCCAGAACCCCAGGCGTACCTCACCGCGGAGGACGCGAGTCCGCGAGCCCGAGCTGTTGAAAGCTGCGGGGTTTACAGGTTTACACTCGGCCTGGAAGCTTTCTGAGAGCCCAAATGGAACCAAGTCCTGCAAAGGCTTCCATGTTTGGGTAAAGTAGAGGAACCCGAGATTTGGTCTTGGATGTTCGAAGGGGCTTTTGGACTCGTGCTGGGCTTCGGGCTGGGGCCGCGAGGAGCTCATGGCCATGAACTCCATGACGGATCCGGGCCCCTCCGGCAAGGCGCGGTCAACCGGAGCCATGCGCTGGTGGAAAAGGTCCATCTGGCTGTGGTCAAAGCCGTTGTGGTTGATCCCATTTTGGTTAGTCAATTATCACGATGACATTTATGGCCCAGAGGTTACATGAGTCAGATGACTTGCAACATGTTGTTGTTGTACAAACAATTCAATGCCCAAGCATGACATGATCACATGTCGCTTTGGCTCAAGTGCTGAAAAGAGCGCGTTGCACGCGCTACCCACAAGGTTAGGGGAGAGGTCGCAGTCACGGCGGGGTTCGTTCCTTTTAAGGTCCCGGGTTCCCCCGTTGTTGAGAAAACTGTGTTTCCCTCTCCTTTGAGTGGTTATCAGCCGTAACGCTTTTCGGGTAAACAAACCCTTCCGTGACTGCGACCTTTTGGTCGCACATGGAAGTCGGCCCTCACCGCGGCACTCGCGGTGGGAAAGGGCCGCGTGCCCGTCTGTTCAACACCCTGCAACAGATCGTCGTAGACGAGTACAAGAGACAGGACAGACGATTCCGGTGGATCAGGTTTGCAGACGCCTCAAAGCAACAGATTGAGGCCCTCTTTTCCTGGCGTGAGACATTGGATAGTTGGCACCTGTGAGGATTCGACCAAGAAGCCTTTGAGGTAATCCAGGCCGCGGACAACGCTTATCAGCAACGTCTTGCATCGGTTGAAGCCACAGGCGTGGTCTTGTCACAAGGTGTGCGATCGCAGGATAGAGCCGCAGCCTCCGGCGCGGCGGAAGCAGCAAGCAGTGCAGCGGATTGGCTACGCCCTCCTACGCCTCCTTCAGCTTCATCCTGGCTACAAGACTCACGCACTCCATTGCCTCGTATCCGACCATCTGCAGAGGAAAGACAAGTGTTGCGAGGTGCCGCCAAGACAGCACTTTGTGGGGTATACGCTAGAGCTGCGGAAACGCGGCGGGAGAGCAGCAGGGAACGGTCGCCACAAAGATCGAGGCCCCCATCGCCACAAAGATCGAGGTCCCCATCGCCTCCGAGACAAGGACCGACTGCTGCTACCCCTGTGGAACATCGGGCGCACAGTGTTGAACCCGCGCTTGCGCGGGAGGGCAGACCATCCAGGACTTCCCTTGCTACACGGCCCATTGTTTTGGCTCCACAGAACAGTATATACCCTGTGACACGATTTGACGAGCACGGCACTTGGGTACTCGTTCGGGAGGCTTCACAGCCACGTGAGGCGACATCTCACCGCCGAGCACAGCGGACATCCCGGCATCTCCGTCAGGCTGACCCGTATTCGCTTGCGGACGAGACGTGGAGAGATCCCCCAAGAAGATCATCCACAAGCTCGCGATCACGATCTCCAGATCGACGCCCAGGACCAGCGGAGCATTATCGTCTCGACGCCTATAGCTCAGAGGAGGAGCCTCCGCAGGACGCGGAGTCCCTTACAACTGGCAGGGCGGCTTACGTGCCTCGGCGCGTATACGAGGCACCGACACACACTGAGCCTATTGCTTTGCATAGCCGGAGGATTGGAGCAATACAGCAACCGCCACCAAAGGCCGCACCAAAGGTCATTTTTGGCAGCAAGCCTCCATTGCCCAAGGAACTTCCTCGTGCAGCTTCTTCGGTATTGGCAAAAGCAGTTATTCCAAGGAAATCACCTCCTCGAGCAAGGTCTCCTATTCGGACTCAGAGTGCATTCGGGCACAAGGCGCCTCCGCGAGGTCTGAACAAGGCCGAACCCAGAAGCAAGTCAGGCCCAAACCCACCACAAGGGTACATCGTCAAGCCGCCACCGCCGCAGGTCGTTAAAGCAGCTGCTACAAGCGCTGCAACTTCCGAGGCTGGCGCACGCTTTCGATCGCCACCAAGAAGGCCGCCGCCAGCGCCACCCCCGCCGCCTGCAAGGCCAGTGCCGCCCAAGGAGCTCACCATCGCTCTGGACTGGCACGGAGTTCTTGACGTCGGGCAGCAAGGCCCCCACCTCAACCCGGAGGTCATCCGGCGTCTCGTTCAATTCGCAGCTGACTACGCACCAATCAACCTGGTGGTGCTATCATTCGTTGGCAGGGCAGCTAGCGAGTTTCGACGCCGCGAGTTCCAGGTCGCCCTGGAGCACGCGAAGGCGACAGCTGGACTCACCTTCTCCGCGATCAAAATCGTACACGAGAGGCTGGGCCGGGGTGGGAAGGCGGACGCTCTCTTGGGGTTGGGAGCCCACGTCCTCGTGGACGATCAAGCTGCAATCGTCCGCAAGGCGCAGAAGACTGGCGTTGCAGCGTTCCGCAACTTCCCCCATTTTGGGCCGAGCGGATTTGCCAACGCGCTTGAGAACGTTGGGGAGTACATTGAGTCCCGGAATCGATTTTTCATTCCGGCGGCAAGGGGCCTGCACCCTTCGCAGTATCTCGAGGAGCTCCATCGGTCTGCATCCCAACTGCCCGCCAATCGGGTCCTTCGAGGGCGTTCTTTGCAAGCCGATAAAACCGTCGCTTTGCGCGGTACAGCATCTTTGCAACTAGGCATTCGATTTGCAGACTTTTCTCATTAGCAGCTTGGCAACATCCTTCGATAAAGCACCAGAGTGCGGCATTGCGGATCAATCAACCTACAAGTACAATTACAAGTACAGAATTCATCAGGTGCAAAGCAGCAGGGCGTATTTTCTTGAGTGGCTCACTTGAGCGTTTCGCAATCAGCTGCCAATCCAGGGATATCTCCTCGTAGCACCTTTTGACACGCTGCTCAAAGCGCGTGGAGCTGGCTTCGTGTGAGTGCAAAATTGCATTGCTGTGTCATGGCTTCAACGGGCTTATCACCGCCCTCGGAACACCCCGTTCAAGGTCAACCCCAAATAGGGATTCTGAACCGGATGACCCTGACTTAGCCATGGTTCCTGCAGTTATGTCCACAGTTCGCACATCCACACCTCAATGAGCAGCCCAAACACGACCGTTTTCACCCCCAAGTGGTCCGATCGTGTCAGAACCTACATCATCCGAAGCTTCCCCACCATTCAGTTTCCTTCACAGGGATCGCAAGTACCCGACCCGATGACTAACGTACCGGCTGCGGCATTTATTGCTGGAGCTGCGGCGCAGCAAGCACATCGAGCATCCGACCTCGCTGCTCAGGCAGCCAATCACGCCTTGCACCAACAGCAGGCCGCCGACCAGGCGAGACAAGAGGCCGGATGGATCAGGGAAAGGGCTGTAAGAGAAGTATCAGATGTTAGGGTTCAGGCCGCTCAGCTAGCTTCGCAAGCCCAGCAGGCTGTACAAACCGCACAACAGAGTGAGGCTCAGGCTAGGCAACTAATCGAGCAGACCCGACAGGAAGCCATTGGCCATGTCGAGAACGCACGCCAGGTTGTTAATGCCACTCAACAGGACGCTCAGCAAGAGGTTCAACGCATTGTTCAAGAGGCTCAACAGGCAATCTCGCAAAGGGAACAAACCATTGCCAGTCAAGAGCATACTATTCGTGGATTGTCCCAGGAAAATTCTGTGATGCATCAACGACTTGGTGATCTCGAACGTGTTGTTGCACACCTCACCCAACAAGCTCGTGCGACCCCTGTTCCGGTTCAAGAGTCCCCGCCAGAAGCCGCATCAATAGCCGAAACAGCTACGGAATCAAGCGCGGCTAAAGCCTCAAGTCAGGGCACAGTTCCCCCAGGAACCCATCAGCCGGTTGGAGCACCTCAGGTTTCAGAGTCACAAGATGCCTCCGGTGTTGCCGCATCGTCGCAAGGGAATGCTTTTTCAAGTACTATCCCCGACCCTCCGTGTGGTTCTGTTCAAAGTTCAGGACTTGGTCACGATGCCCCAGCTGATTCAAGGGACCCTGGTGGGGTTGCAACAAGTCAACATCTCGCAGGCCATTCGGCAGTGCTAGGAGCAGCGTCCCGGCGCGTCGAGCGCAAGCGGTTTGGGAAGAGACGGTACAAGGGATCAAGCCGATGTGAGAGTGCAAGTGACGGCTTTAGCGGAAATGGTTCAGCAGCTTTCCCAATTGGTTGCTAATCAAGTGGCTCCGCCACCTCCGCCTCCGGCCGCACCACCTCCAGTGCCTCCCACGCCCCTCGCAGGGGCGCCGCCTCCGCCAAAACCTGGCAACGGCACTTGTGTTCCGCCAGTGCCAATCACAATGTTGGGAGGGTTGTACTCGTCATCCCCACAAGCGCCATCGGCCGCAAGCTCCGACTCATCATCAGACTCCGATGCAGATGACGATGCCCCACAATGTCGAGTTTGCGGCGGCAGCCATGAAGACACGGAATGCCCATACCTCACCATGAATGGTGTGGGGGGAGGAGGGGGAGGCTCTGGCCAGTTCCCCAATGCAGACCCGTCTCAAGCTGCCGATCCCAGTGTAGGCATGACCGCCGTAGATCACGCCGCATATGAGGAGTCCGTTGTCCGTGTCAAGGCTCTCAAGGATCTTGTACTACCATCCCCTCCAGAGAACGCTGGTCAGGCTAGAGGTTTCGTCAACCAAGTTTTGATGGCCATCGGTCGACTCCAGAAGACCCCCGGAGATGAAGTTTACCAGTGGGCCCAAGCATGCATGTCCTCCTCTGAGCAAGAACTCATAGCGGACAAGCGTTTCCCACGTCTAGATCGTGAAGTAGCCGCAAAGCTCCTAAAACCTGCCGCAAAGGTAAGTTCGGGCTCTTGTTTCAAAACATGGTTGAACAAGAGAGAATCTCGTCAGGTGGGATGCCCGTAGGGAGAATCATGTTGCGCGCCATCTTCAAGCACTTCCAGTTGGAACGAGGTAGGATCGGAACCTTAGGAGGCCGTAACTTGTTAAAGTTGTCTCTTGCAGGTCCGTCCCTTGCTGACTTGGATGCCTTTCGGGAGAAGTACGTTTACGTGCTGACCGCAATCCCCGTGGCAGAACAACCCACGGAAACAACCTTGTTTGATCACCTGTTGGATGAGCTGGAAAAGTGCACCGCGCTGAAGCCTAAGGTAGAAAAGGCACGGGAAGCCCCTATCGGCAGCCACCGTAGG